GAGGACATAAAAGCAGTACTTAACGAGAATAAGACAGTGTGGATTGGGGGGATGAAGAGAAGAGGATAGAGAAAGATAGCAAGAGAACAAACAGGCAGGACGTTAGTGGGAAACAGATATGGCTTATTACCTGTTGATGATGACATGTATAGTATTCTCAACTGGATTGGTCTGAGAAGTACTTCATGATGGGTAGAGTCTTTTTACAAGCAAAATGAGAAATAGTGATTGACTGATTAAAAAATGATTGGAATAATAATAATAATGATTGGGAAAAACATAGAAAAGATTAAAGTAATAAAAAAACCAACACCGAGTCTGGGATTTTAGACACATAGCCTTGTGGGATCATGCTGCTTTAATTGCCATGCCACAGAGCCCTCCCTTGTTTTGTTTTTGGTGTGATAGTACACAGTTTTATTTTTGTATTACTTTATACTTGTTATAAGTAAGTTTATTCAGAAGTACACATTTCACAAACAAAGTATGACCTCGCGTGCTTTTAACCGGAATTTGATCAATTGCATGTCAATGTTTAATACTATTGTATGATAAGATAGTATGATAATGATGATGATACTCCTGATAAAACTATAAAAAAATCACTTATTATAATGTCTTGCAGAGGCTAGTTGCTGTTCTAAAAGTTTATGTAAACAAGTGCATTTGATATAATAGATGGAAAATAGGTTTTAACAGTAAGTACTAGAAGACAAGAAGTCTCTCTTCTCTTCATTCTGACTCCTGAAATTCAACCATTAAAGAAGCATTTTGGAGGGTTTAAGTGCACAATGGGATAGTTTAGGTCCCCATGTATGTCTATGCCTAAGATATTATTTCTTAGTTGCAAGTTTATTCTTCTATACTTCGGAATACTATGGCTAAACTGCCCAGATTTTTAAAGTTTATTTATGTATTTATTATTTATGTAGTCTCTTAAAGAGAAAAGAGGTGGTGGGGGCACCTCAAAAGAACACTCTGTGATCCTCCTAACAGTCCTGCAGCCAACCAGGGTCAGGTCATGGGTGTATCCATGGGTGCACTCAGTTTACTCAGGAAACCCAGGTATCAACTGGAGCCTTCCTCTATGGCTTCCAGTTTCTACTGCCCGTACCACCATGGCTAACTGCACAGTTTTTATTTCTCCTTTTAAGATAATTTCTACTTAGTTCAGAGTATAAGAAGCACTAGAGGGAGATGAAAAGGCAGGAGGAAGGGACTTCCTCATTCTGATCTACAGGTGTTTTTCTGTTATGAGGGTCATGCCTGTAATGGCCCTTAACCTTGGCAGTGGCAGGTTGTTCTGACTCCTCTTATTGCATTCCCAAAGCTAGCTTTGTCATGTTCATGGTCTTCATAAAATTCTGGGCTCCAGTCCTTGGGTTTCTTCTCTCAAGAAGATAACAGGAGCTTCTTGTTTTTGTCCTCCCCAATCTTAAGAACAGCACCTATTTTCCTGTCTGGTCTTTACTTGATACCAGGAGTTTCTGGAATGTCTTTTCTTATGCCCATTTCCTTGAATGAAATATTACTCTCCTTTCCAATGGGAAATAATATGCTAGTCATTCATGACATAATGTCACATTACATTTAATGATTGCAATGAAGTACCCTGAGAACCAATGTCTTCTACACTTATTGTAATAGTCACAATGACTACAAGAGCAGTTGGTGAGATGGCCTCTTCTGATTGCAGAATCTACAAATAGAAAAGTGTAAGTTCAGGGCTTTTAATCTTCAGTACAAATAATAGAAAACAAGAGTTTCTATGGTGATCTTGAAACAATCTCTTATTTTTCATAGCTGCAGGACTGCCTTCTTTTAAAAATGAGAAGCATCTTATTTGTTCTGAGTGTGAAATTACAAGATAAATTAAAACCTTTTTTTTTAGAGAAATTTTTGCTATAGGGTGTGTGTGCTTATCAGAGAGACAGAGAGACAGAAGCGAGAAATCATTCCCCAGTGGGGATGGCTATGTTGCAATTCCTTCTCCTTCACTCCCCTCTCAACATTTTGAGTAGGCAGGGATTTCAGGCCACCAGGTCCAGGACTTGAACTGTGATTGACTATATGGGAGTCCAACAACATAACCAATACACCATCCACTAGTCCCAATAAACTGAAATCTTATACTTGCTGTGCCACTTAAGAGAAAAGTCAAGACATTTTGGGGATGGGAAGTGAAGCCAAAACTAGAGCAGTGACCTCTGAGTGGACTCAGTGCTGAGATTACTCTCTGAACTTTAAGAATTTCTTTCTAGTAGAAGGAATCACTCTTACTGGGTTTGACCAGAGTCCTACTCTTGAAGTAAGATCCTTCAGTAACTCTGTGGGTAAAAAACTCCAAATCAGCTAGCTAAGATGCCTACTGAGAGAAAAGGGCGATAGAAAAAGGGTGATAGAAAAAGGACATTATAAACATCAATTACAATCGTCACTAATTACATAAATGGGAACTAGAGAAGCTTAAGTGCATTTTACTCCTTGCTTGTAACACTTTTCTTATCTATATAGCCATATGTCTGCATAAAGATCACATAAATATTTAGGAATATTAATATTTGCAGCTATGAAATAGTCTGTTTTTAGATTTCTATTCTTCGGTCCTCTAAACTACTATATATAGAGGGTTTGATATTTTCTTTTCTTTTTCATGATGGGTAGCTTTGCAATCTATTCTTCATAAAATAATGTTCAGGTGGGGTTGGGATTGTATCAGAAGAATAAATATCACTCAGAGATGGATATTGTGATCATTGTGTAGAGATGCAAAAGTGTTAAAAAATTCATTAAAAAAATTAACACTGTGTAGAGATGCAAAAGTGTCAAAAAGTTCATAAAAAAGAAACATTATGAAAAAACTGCATGAATCTCAATTTTTGTGCCAAAATAAACTCATACATTAATTTTACTTTTTCATGAACTTTTTAAGTCCCCTCAAACAAAGTAACAGAATTTCATATGTCTAATTTATTGACAAATGAGAAGAATAGCTTTTGTTTGTTTGAAGGGAAGTCATAACTTATTATTGTGAAACAATGTAATATGTACAGAATTGTGTACATTATATGGAATAACCAAAGGAGTAAATTATGCCAATTAGTAAGCAATTCTCTGTCACCTCTATATCCAAGTTTTTGGACTCTATTTGGTGTTGCTAGAGCTGGAGCTCTGTAATTTTCATTTATTCTGTGCCACAAAGATTTCTGTTAGGGTCTACTGGGAGAAAGCCAGCAGGTGGTTTGGATGTTAAGGCACTGGATCCCACATCACTAACTCTGCAGTTCAAGTCCTGAACACAGTGGCTTGGAAATCATGCTGGTTGCTTGTGCATATATAACCAAGATTCCAAGAGTGGAATGGAGGTGAAGAAATTGAAGTATGGCCACCCGCTTCTCACTTTTCCTCTTTCTGTCTATCTTTCTCTCTGGTGAGTGCACACACCCTATTGCAAAAACAAACAAACATAACAAACAAAAGGAAACAGCACTAGAGAAATATAAGAAGAGATACAGGAAATAGAAAGGAATTATATCCCTTTTTGTGGATATTGTCTACCACGGAAAATGATCAGAGCACATTCTTTCCTCCATTTCTCCCTCCTTTTGGAATTTTGGGAACAAATACATGTGTCCAGTGTGTTTTTTCAAGCCACCAGGTTCAGAATTGAAACCATGCAGTGGCAATGTGGGCTGCCTTAAACTATGAGGCCAGAGGCTGGCCTTTCTCTATGGTTCAATGTTACTTTTTATCTCAAAATGGACATTGGTTCCAGTCTCCTTTTTTTTTTTTTTTTTTTATCTCAAAATGGACATTGGTTCCAGTCTCCTTTTTTTTTTTTTTTTTTTCTGGAACACTTAGAACCAACTTTCATGGGTTCTCCGAGAATTTCAGCCAAGCCACACCTATTCAAGAGACTGATCTCAAATCCCCAAAGGTTTTCCTTCTAACTCTAAAGATTCTATTAGCTATGAGAAACCTCAGAGGTCTAAGACAGTCCTTTACCTAGTGGCCTAAAAAAATGTGCTGGGAGAGTGGGCATGCATGCCCAAAATCCCAAAAGAAGAATGGAAGAGAAGAGATTGATGCATGGCCATTCCCCCTATTGAAAGGAGTGATTTCTCACTTTCCCTGTCTTTGGGTTTCTCTCTCTGGCAGGTGCACACATCTTATGGCAAAATAAATAAATAGCAGCATTAGATAGACTCCTGGGACTCCACACCCATAGTAGAGTTAGACTCAAGGTTGTTTAGCTGGAATATTCTTGCATTTTCTTGGATAAAGGTGAGAGTGGTAGTAGTAATGGACTGCTCTCTAGGTTGAGAGCTCAGGGTAATTGCTAAGATGTTTAAGATCAGCCAAATCTAAGGAATTATTTATGCATTTGGACAAACCACACTGCATGCTTTCCCCTACTCCTAGCACCTGTTCCCTTTAACAATTCTATGTGAGGGAAACACAGAGTAAGCATCCAAAAGAATTGGAATAGTGAACAGGAGAGGAGTAGCCTCATTCATTTTTCACTTTCAATTGAGTAAATGAAGAAGAAGAATTGACTGTTTAAACACAAAGTCAAGTTCGGAGCTAGGTGACTGAGCCTGGTTGCCCACACCTTCTACCTCTCAAAATCACCAGGGACCCTAACACTGCAGCACAATTCACCTATCCATACCAAAGGAAACTCTTTTCTCTAATTTTATAAAACAGATCCAGAAAATCATGTTTATTATTTTCTTTATTTAGTGTTATGCTTAGAAATATGAAAAACTCAAGAGAGAACTACAGTCATAATATACAAGGATTCCCAATAATCACTATTTTTTTCTACTACTTTATGGAATTATAGTGAGTGTATTATTCTAAAAAGAAAACTTAATGGGATAAAGCAACACTATATTTGCAGTCCAACTAAAGCTATGTACATATGCATACATAATTTATTATCTATGTATAATTTATATGTATACAAACACCACACTTTATTGAGGTAAAGGAGCGCAGCGAGGTTAAGAGCAAATGGCTAAACTCAATATAGGCTTTACAATGGCACTGAAAACTATTTTCCTAGCATAAAGGCATCCAACATGCTGGTATTACCCTACTGATAAATATTTAGACTGTACTTATCTTTTGCTTTCTTAGAAATGAAGCTAAAATAAACATATTTTAAGGCAACCTTTGGAAGTGTCAGCATTTCTTACTTTATCTGCCTTGTGGTAAATGTTATTCACAGTGACAATTAAAAATATTGAACAATGAAGGACAAAGGTTGGAAAATTCATCTTGAATCCATCTCATTCTCTGGTAAAAAGTCATTTTCTAGCAACCTTTGACTTTCACTTTTGAGGGGTAACATCATTGCTTTTGGGCCCACACATGCTTATTGAAAGCTATGTGTTACAGATTTTCAATTTTGATTTCATGTTCGGGAAACCATTTACGTGAGTATTAATGCTATTAAATATATATGTATACATACAGAAAATGAGAACTTAGAGAATGCAATTTGTCCCAGTTGCAAGCTATTCAACACTGCTACTCACTTCCATTGTGTCTTTGGAAAGATAAACTATCCAGTACACAAGATTGAACCCTGCAAATGCAACTGGAAAAAGAATTCGAGAATACTGGTCTATTTTACTGGTGCCTCCAAAAGCTGGTGAGAGTGGTGGGGGTGTAACAGGTGTTGATTGTAAGATAGGCTCTCTGCTGAGGACTTTGCTGGCCCCAGAGGATGGAACTATTGGCAAGGTCAGAGAAGTGATTCTTTTCTTCAGATGGTACTTGGAATCAGAACGCTGTGGAAAAAGACATGAATATTCAACTTTGGTTAAAAATAAAGGCCACTTATTTCATCATTCTTTTTTTTTACCATTTGCATATATTTATCGATTCTTTACTTACTATGTGAAATAAAATAGTACAAATTCTTAGTATATTATGGTGGCACTTTTGCAAGGAAAAGTTAAGACACATTTTTTTAAAAAATATGATTTGCTTTCACTCAGTTTCTCAATTCATAAACATCTGCAGTTGATGTCAAGAATAGTTTACTTTCAGAAAATGTGTTAGACATTATACTACTAGGAGAAGATGAGCCAGGTTGCAAAGGTATACCTATATCCAGGTCATGCATAAGCCTGTAGGTTAATGAGTGTTGGCAATAGTATGTGTTGGAGGGGTTAGCTTCCCACTTAGAATAAATGGAAAATTAGCTAATGCTAGAAAAAAACACAGTTTGGTTTATTGATACCACTCTTTAAGACTCATTTCCAGGCAACATTCTTAACTTCACACATTCATAATTTTGAACCAGCTGAAAATCAAAAGGAAGAAAAAACAGTGAATGATTCAATCTATGTGCATGGTCAGTGACCTTACATTGAGTAGATGGTTGTTCATGCCTTGAAATATAGTTGTCCCTTAGCCTCGATATTCTATACAAAGAACTACCTACTTCCCATTCAAAACATCTCCAGTGGTCTTCCTACACCTTAAGTCACCATAATGAATTCCTTTACTAATGTCAAAATTGTTTTATATTTTTTTCCTATCATTAGATTTTCTGAAATCTTTTATTAGAAATCATGAAACAATCAACTTTAGTCATGAGACACATGTTTAACACAATAATTGAAAGAGGAGAAGACTTGTGTTCGAGAGGGGAAATGCTTTGTTCATTGTCACATGGCTAGCAATATACTCCACTGGTCAACCTCAATGCTTGTTTCATCCCAGTCCTTGTCTTTACAGCAATGGGCCTAGTTTAGAGACTGTCTAACTTAGATTCCTTTCAAGCTGCTGGAGTCTAGGAGGCCTTCCTCTGATTCCTCTCTTTCCTTGTCTACATCCTATACAACAATGGCTCTCCTTGTAGCCAGGTTGTCCTTGCCGGGTCTCTGTCTTCACACACTTGCTGAACATTACCCCTGATCTTGTAAAATGGCCTTGTTTGCACTCTGGCAGCAAAATCACCACTTTGCTGCCTGGCAGGGTATGTTACCCACGTGGGCAGACTCCCATGGCTTTAGCCAGCAGCCCTGCGGCAACAGGATGAGACAGCCGCCACCCCTGTGCTAGCTGAGCCGCAGGACCAAAAATCCTGCCGATGTGATGACATTTGGACTGCAGGAACAAAAATCCCAGGCACCTCTTCTTATATTCCCCTCCTCAACTGCTGTTGAGTTTGCCATGGAAGTTACTGAGTGTCTAAATAATAATAGTCGTTACAGTGAGTTCAAACCCCCTATGCTTCTAAGGGCAATAGGAAAATCTGTTTCTTCACCAAAAGAAAAAATGAATCTAAATAGTCAAGGCTGATTTGACAAGACTATGGAGAATTTCATGCAAAGTATCTTCCTTATTTATCTATTGGCCTAGTGCTGGGAAAAGGTACTCTGGGCACAATTAAAAGAAGCATAGGTTTTTTTCTTTTTCTTTCTCTTTTTTTGGAGAGGTTTTTGCTACAGGATGTGTGCGCTCGGCAGACATTCAGAGAGAGACAGAGAGACAGAAAGCAAGAAATCAACCCCCCAGGGGGCGTGGCCATGCCGCAATCCCTTCTCCTCCATTCTCCTCTCGGGATCTTGGGCATGCATGCACACGCGCCTGGCATGAGTTTAAGCTACAGGGCTTGGGACTTGAACTGCAGTCGACTACATGGGAGTCCAGCGACATAGCCATTATGCTAACTGCTGGTCCCAAAGCATAGATTTTGAAGACAGAAGAATGATTGAAATAACAGAGGGTGTTGTCTGCCAATCTCGGAGAGGAAATAAGTGACACTTTCTATTAAAAATTTGCAACATGGGGCCAGCAGATGGCATCGCGGTTATGTCGCTGGGCTTCTTCTACACATGGCTGACTGTGGTAGAAGTCCTAGGCCCCATGGCTTGAAAATCACACCAGGCACATGTGCATCTATCCCCCAAATCCCAGGAAGAGAGTGGAGGAGAAGGGATTGTGGTCATTCCCCTGGGGGTAACTTCTCACTTTCACTCTCCTGTGACTGTTTGTCTGTCTCTCTCTGGTGAGTATATGCACTCTTAAGGCAAAAGAGTCTACAAAAAAATAAAATAAATAACTTGCAACATTTAAGGACTACTGTGCTCAGGGTTACTAGATTATATATGGATAGGACCAGAATAACAATATTTTCGTTTCAATGCTTGCTGTCTCTCTTAGAATATAACCATAGCCTTGCCTTGTGAGAGTTCTCTATCATGTTTCTCAGACTCTACTTTGAATTTTTATTCATTAGATACATTAATAAAACATTTGCTACCTGAAAGAGCAGAATGCATCACTATTTCACCTTCCAAAAGAGCCCTTCTCCTCCCACATGTATGGAATATTGAAATATTTTTCTCCAGTAACATTTCTAAGATGCATGCTGGAGGAGAAAGAGGGCAAGCTTTCAGAGCAGATTTTCTTATAGAGTTATCTTGACCTTTAATAGCATGCATCACCTGTCTGGAAATCACTTTTCTTCTATTTTAGGTGAAGAAGAACAGACCTGCCTAGTTTATTGGGAAGAAAAAGTGACTGTAAGACATAATACACCATAAAATTGTAAGGCATTGTTTTTATCCCTTCTTCAGAGATGTGAGAAAATTAAGTTATTGTGAATTCTTTGGCATAATCACATTGTCACAAACTATCTGGTTCAGATTGTCAAATAACTTCAGTCCAGAGTTGAGGGATATCAGAGGCAAATATGAAAATTTTAAGCCAAAGAGTATTAGCCTTTAATGAAAGGTTTCCTGCAATAACATTTCCCCTTTCCTCATTTACTTGCCCAGTCTCTATGGTGGGTTACCGAAGAGTTAAGAAAAGAGGAGAGTTAGAAATCACTAGATCACAGTTCTATATCTACTACTAATTTCCCTCAATGCCATGGACTCATTTTCCCTAAACTTCCAGTTTCTATACTTAAGGTTAGGAGCAATTATCACTTTCTTCATATGCTTTCTCCTTGATCATTTTTTTTAAAGAATTTGAGAAAAATTTGTGATATATATATATATATATAGAGAGATAGAGAGAGAGAGAGAGAGAGAGAGATATATATATATATATATATATGTGTGTTTATATATATATATATACACACACACATATATATATATATATATATATATACGATAGAGAGAGAGGGTCCAAG